TTTTTCAAGAGCCTTTTAAAAGTGGATTAGCCGAGATCATAATTTGTACTTGGGATTGGCCTCTGGATACAGTTATTCAGGTTGAAATTGCGTCATATGCATATGTGTGTATATATACAGATATATATAAATAAAATCTGCTAACTGCTTGTTTCACATAATATTCAGTGTATCAGGTGAGCCATTTGCAGGATTTGATATTGTTGAAGTAGTTAGTGCAAACAGATATTTTTAGTGTGGTAGCAAAGAATTAGCTTTGATTGCTTTATGCAATTCTACAATCAATATTTTCCCAGTTTTCACTCTCTCTTGATATGTGAATCTTTCCTTTTAAGAGAAAACAGCATAGATGTAAATTAATGTATGTTTTCATCAGTAACATGTATAGATTTAACAAATTCAGTTCTGCTTAACTCAGTTTGATTTTGGAGAAAAAAACGAAAATGAAGACTGCCAAGAGAATGTTGTTTCAATGCAATATGGTTTCAGTGTTTCAACAGACAGATATAAATAAATTGACTTGCTGTGGTGGTGGAAAAGACCTTTAACTGACCTGTTTCAGTAACTTGGGTACCTGAAAAGCCTTACCTGTGTTAGGGGTATGTAATTACTGGGTCAGACTTTAGGTTTATACAGCACAGGAGTTTAACAAGGGATCCAGTTTATCTTGTTATATTTGCATCGTCAGATTTTTGTTTGTTGCAATAACAAGAACCACACGACAAATGATGTAGACAAATCATGACAAATATTTAAAATATAATACTATTAAAAATGCATGGCTTTTTCTTAACTCATGCTGTATAAACATAAAAGCCAATGCTAAGACTTTCTGCCTATATAAAGGTAAACTGAGTTCACAGAAGTTGCTTGGGATTTATATACATAGTAGTTTAGTCCTGAATGCTGTCGGAATATGCTGCTTCTCCCCCTCCTCCAGCTTCTGAGTGCCTATACAAAGAATTTTTGAAAAAATTCTCTGCCATTTAAAACATGGGTAAGCCTAAAACCTTTAAAAATAGCTTGTATTGCTAGCAATGTCAATGTCTCCTAATACAGAAAATGAGAGAACTGTCAGTACAAGTGAGATTTAAGAGGACAGACATTTTCTTGTAAGCTGGTAGAGGGACACCGAATATGTGTTCAGCCATTCTTGTCACTAGGAGAGCCAGATACGCATTGCAGGTGAATCTGATCTCAATCTGCATCTCCTTTTAAGGATCATTGGAAACAACCTCCGTGTGTCTGCTACTCTCTTCGTAGTCCTCAGCCTCTGTGCTTGTGAACTGTACAGTCTGTGCCAGCCTTGCTTCTGCTGGAACAGATTTCATACAGAGAACTAACAACAAACAGTTTAGTTAAGCACATTGATGGAGCAGGTACTGGAGATCTGCTGAAGAACTGACGTTTGAAAGGAGCTTACCCTCTGTGCCTTGCTGGATGGAGAAAAACTGAGTTCTTGTCCATGTGTTTCAGTATTGTATACGCCAGGGTTTCCAAACTCTTACTTGGCTATTCAGATACATATGCGCAGTAGCTGCTGAATAGACCAATAGACCACAAAGGACCAGCCTATGGAGACAGGTAGAGGGAAACATCAAGATGATCAAGAGCTCCCTTATTCTTTCCTTTCAGAAGACCTGTGCCGACCTTACTTTCTGCAGCCTGTGCCTGGCAGTGTGAACAAGTAGCAGTACTTGGTTTGATATAAAATACTCTTTGCCTGCTTGGTTCTTTTATGCGATACCATATTAAATTATGATGAAAATGGTGAAGTAAATAACACAGCTGTTTGTAGAGGCTTCCAGACAGCATCCTCACAGAACAGGTTATTGTTCTCTGCAGGAAATAAAAAAAATTTGCCTTTTTTGAGGATTTTGTTATCAAAATTAAAACCTTCCAAAGGCAGCTTGAGCAGTACAGGAAGAAATCACTTGAAAGAAACTGGTCTCTGTTCTTTTAATGGTGAATTCAGTCACTTGGGTCTTGTTTGCTTTGCTTGGTTTGGGATTTTTTTCACACATACTCTCCTTCAAAACCATAGTATGGAGTTCAAATACAACCTTAATAAATTTATTATAGGGGATTTTTTTTCAGTTCCAAATAGACAAAAATGCACGGAAAATAATACTTTTATTTGTGCAGTAGGTTTTTGACTACCTTTTTTGACTGAATAATTTGTTACTAAGTACAATGTAAGCACAGAATGAAGAATTAGTAGCACTTCTTATTAAATGGACTTTTTAGCTTAGAAATTTTAAAGTGGAATTCTACTGATATACGTAACCATTAGTTTATGGGGCCATGTTAACTCCTTGATTAATGTCATTGACTTAGTCTGTGGCTTCACCACAGGAAGGAAATGAATTCTTTTTGAGGTGGAGGAGTATTGATAATGTTTTGAAAAAATGATAATACCATGATTACAGAAGTGAAGATATTGCAACAAATCTACAAGCTTAGAAGAAAGAATCTTAATCAACATCTGTTGGTCAAACTCAATCTCAATGCAAGGCAGCCTCCAGCTCTGCCAAGGTATAACGGTGTAAACTTTCTGGACAGAACTCAGGGATAGATTGAATGGCATTGCTAGTGAAATATTACATTACTTCAGCATTACAGGTATATGACATACAATATATGTTTCAGTAATTCCTAAACACTTCAGACGTTACTGATGTACCTTAAATTTAAAAGCTTTGCTGAATAGCTCTGTGATTTCTCATGTGTTAAAAATTAAGCACATGGAAAAGAGTTTTGAAGAATCAGGGCATAATTTTCCTTAACACTACAATTGATTTCTAAGGGACTAGTTAGGGAGAAAAATTTACTCATCTTGAGTAAAGGGTGGCAGAACTCTGCCTAATAAATAGAATTTTTGAAAAGACACTGGTTTTTTATAGTCTATTCTCTTGACAATCTAAGGTTGTTCCTTATAATGTTGAATGCTCTATTTTTTAGCACTGTATTTAATTTAGTTGTAAATGACTCAAACTGTGGTGCTTCTACCACTTCCCCAGTCTATATCATAAATCTGAATGTGTATGTGTTTTCTTGGTATTGCTCGATAAAACAAATAACAACAGATCTGAAAAAGACATCAGAAAACTACTCATTCTTAATTCCTGTGAATGATTGCTTATTTCACTGTTATGTTTAAGTATATAATGATTTCTGCCAAAAGAACCTGACATAGGTTGAATTTGATTAATGAATACCATTATTTGCTGATGGCCTAAAGGATTTATCTTTATCTAAATATTTTTTTCCAGAATGGGCACTTTTAAAATTAGATGAAGCACTTCTGTATAATATCTATTCCAACTGCTAGACAAATCACCCTTTTATTCAATTAACATTACTATTCCAAGATTTACCAAGTAATTTCCCAATAATATAGTATAGACCTGTTTCACTGGCCTCAGCAATCAACTTCTGCAAGAAAATCAGCTGAAAAGAAAAGAAAGAAAATAATAATAAATGGGTTGACAATAATATGAGACCTAAAATCAGTGTGCACATTTTTGTAAGATGAATCCTTAGATGTTCTTGAATTGTGTTTTTCTAATGAGTACCACTGGGTATCGGTCAAATTCGTCATGTCTTAATTGTTGGTATCATGAGAATGGAGTTACTCTTCCTATTTTTATTTTCCTTTTTTCATGAATTTACAGTTCAGCAGTCTAAGCTTAGAAGGAAAACAAATATGAATTAATTTTGCCAAGTGATTCTAAAACTCATTTTAATTAGTCCCTTACACTCTACAGTTAACCTTGATTGCATTTCATATTTTAGACTTTCTTGCTTTGTATAATGAAGAATACTCCCTACTAATAATGTTAGTAAAGCAGAAGAATAAATTGATACATTTTTCTACATTAGCAGTGCAGTTTATTTTTCCAAGCTCCTTTGATCAAAAAGTCTTGATATGTCAATTTTGCTAAATTTCGCCATCTACCTGTGTGTGTAACTGATTACATTTCTTGATTTAAGGATTAAGAAGTCAATGAAAAAGTTATCTGAGCTGGAAGACAAAGTCAGTCTTAGCAAAATGTTAATCCGTGGATTTCATTACATCTGAATCTGCTTACTGTATCTGACTATTAATATTTAATGCTTGATGTATAATGGATTATGAAATTTAAACAAAAGCTATCTTGGTTTATATAAATACATAGATCTTAGAGCTCCTGTAGATAGAAAATAACTTCACAGAGACAAATTAATTCCCAAGTAGGGAAATCTTTTTCCCCACTTATCTCCTACCTGAATCCTTAATCTAGGATGTTTTAATATCTTATGGAGCTTTGCATTTGCAAATTCCACCCTTGGAGAGCACATTAAAATCCCTAGTCCTGCTCCCGTAGAAACCGATACAAATTTTGGTCTTAGTTTTGAGAGGAACTGTATTAAGCCCATAGTAATAGGTCAATTTGTGTGTTATTTCTGAAGATTTTTGCTCTTTATATACGACTTAAGGTAAAAAATCCTGATCTAAGAGCTAGTCTTCTTCATAACAGGTAGACTCTGCAAAAGGTCCTTGGCCAATACTGGGTGGTTCAAGACAGCTGTGCAGTGCGAGTTGTGGCAGGAGAATTGTTTTCAGACTCCTTCAGTGATCAGATTTCCCCTCTAGCGTCACACAAAAACACCGGATGCAGCCGGTGCAGACAGTGGTGTTGGGTTCACACGTCAAAAGTCCTTGCATCTGAAATGTGCCAACGTTCTCATGGGTGATTGGCACGTGAGCCCTATGGGGAAAATGTCTGCTCCTCAAACCAAACGGGATTACCAGAGAGCTGTTGCTTTCTCAACATGTATGCCACAAAATGCAACTTGGGCAAAGTTTATGGTTTGTTACTTCATCTGTAGTTCACATCTTTTCTTTCAGTATTATGTAACATGTCCACCTCCATTCTCTTTTTCCTTCTCAGGAGAATCCAATTTGCTTATCAAGTTCTCTTTCTCTCTCTTTTTCTCTTTTCTCTTTTTTCCCCTCTTGGAATGCCATTTGCTTGGTGGGTTGGCCGTGCCAATGAAAAGCATCTTTACTGGGGAGGATCTCTTCCGGGCATTCAACAGTGTGCGTGTGGACTTGAAGAAAGTTGTCTGGATATGAGATATTTTTGCAACTGTGACGCAGATAGAGAAGAATGGTAATAATTTTAACATGTATAGTAGTGTCTGTGTGAGAGCTGGGGATAGGAAAGTAGGGCAAGAAGGCTTAAATCTTTTCCTGATTCACAGCTCAGGAAGCTTGAATGGCTTGAGTATGATCAAATGAGAATGGAAGTCAAACAAGAATTTGGACTTCTGATTTCATCTTAAATTTCTTATTTGAGCAAAAGTCGATATCTGGCTGAAGCAGGTTGCTGGGATGGGTTGTCTTCAAAAAATCTTTGTTGTTGAATGCCAAAACCAGTCGTTTTATTTGTTTAAAAATTTCCATTGATTCAATTGGAGCATTGCATGAATAAAGGCTCTAGGAGGTTGGTGCATGGGTATACATCAGAGCAAAATTCAGGTACAGACAGCTAAAGAACAAGAAATCTGTAGTATCAAGAAGACTTGTATTTTTCTTATGAAACGGTATATCTGTATGTGCCTTAACTTTCTTTTACATTGGGTCCCAAGCTTTTTAAAGTCAATGGAAGGACTTCCTTTGGCTTCTCTAGGTTTTGGTTCAGTCTCTATAGGAAGTTTTAGACTTATAGCATGAACGTTCAAAGCCTTCCTCAGGTTCAGACCTTTGTTGTACCCCGATGCCACATGAATTTGGGAAGGCCACCTCACAACCTTCTCCCATTCTCTGCACCTTCAGACACTCTCTAGCAGCTGAGAGCTAGTTGGTGAACTTCCCGATTAATTCCATACGTGTGTTGGAGGGGACAGACATGCCAGATGAGTGTTGTTGAAAGTACAATTTGAAACACTGTGAAAATACATGTGAAAACTCTGCTTCACCCTCTCTCCCTTCTGGACCACTCACTGATAGGAGCTGCTGCCCTTTCTCTAAAAAAAGATATTTTAACCTCGAGTAGTTCAGAAATTACGAATAATGGAAGTAGACAAGAAATGTCTTGCTGTAATAGGCTACTGTGTTTGAAATAGTGTCCAAATTATCCCTGTGAAACCTTCACTTAAAAGAGAATGAGTAGAAAGGAACTGTAAGGGGTCCTGAAACAAACAAAAAAAAAATTCAGAAATGACTTGTCACTGTAAGTGTTGGGCTTTTTTGGTTGCTCGATGTGTGGCATTTGCAAGAGGGCCTAATTTCCAGACAATGTGATTATTCAGTTGGACCCTTTATATCCCTGGGTTAACTATTCACTTTCAAAATCATAGCTGTAAGGGGATTTCTTTGGGAAGATCTTTATGTAAATGTTGGTTTATGAATGTGATTTGTATAGATTTGTATAGAAAGGCCTGGCTGTGCATGTTAATCTATCTTTCTTTAATGTTTGGTTATCAAAGGCACTTTGGTGAGGTTTGCACATGAGCATCAAAAGCATCTGTTTTTACTGGTGCTTGGTGCTGTTTGTAATCCACATTTTGCTTTTTGGTGAGCTGCTACTCAGGCAGAGCTGGGTGTGTTACACTGGCAGACCATTGGGGTTGTAGTCTAAGATTGCAGGACAGTGTGCAACCCAGGTTGTACAAACCAATGCAAGGTGAAAGCCAAATGCAGTTTTATAATGTTTCAGCTGAGTCTCCTAAGGAAATGAGACCTAAGCAAGTTATGCTGTGGGTGTTTATTTCCATTTTCACCACACACCCGATGATTTTAAACAAGCAGACGCATTTCAAACATCTTTAACAGAGAAGGAGAAATCTCAGAAGTATTAGAAATTACACATTCTATGAAAATTTATGCCAGGCTGAGGGGAAAAGGCCAATTAAAACCCACATGAAGGAAGTTAAGGAAGCTTACACTTTTATTATATTTTGGAAAACCCTCATGGGAGAGAGATGTTGGAAATCATGCTTCATTAGCTTGGCAGCTCACAGAGCTACTTGTTTCTCCTAATTTCATTATAATAACAGGATATGCATAGAAGTTGCCTCAGCTAAGCTGCCTACTGTTTGTTGGTTTGGGGGTTCAGGTGTTTTGGCTTGGTTTTTAATCCATTTGAAATTTGGACTTTGGTAGTATTCTAAATTGCAGGTTGCCTTTTTAAAAGCTAAACCCCCCCTGACCTTTACAAAGATTTTTTAAATGTAAGAAATTTCATGCCTCTTGAATATTGCTTTTGTGTTTCTCTGCTAGAACACTGACCCCCTGACATATAATGAGCATTTGAATCTGAAACCTGCTGAGATCTGAACTGTGACTTTAACCTGCTATACATTATAGTGGAAGGAGCAAGACAGCAGTAGATGCATTTATTTGCCTTAGCATGAAATAAAATGGGTGCTGCAGAGTGGAAAACCAGAAAATCATTTTCGCTCCTTTTAGATAAATCAGGCTGCTCACTGCAGCTCCAAGGTAGGAACTCACCAGAATAGCTGGAGCGTCCTTCTGAAGAGGAGACAGGCTTAGCATTTTGCTTTGATTTGGTTTCCCTAGACTGTCTCGGATGCAGAAGCGGCTACTAATTTCTCAGAGCAGCAAAAGAAATGAAATACAAGAGAAAACAGACCTCAAAAAAGTCCTGAGCCAGGTGTTTGACGACACACAATATGCACTCCTAGGCATGCTGACTTTTAAATGATATCTAAGATGACACCTGAGCCAGCTGCTGTGTCTTGGCTCTTACTTGACACCGTTAGTCCCCCTGGAGTTATGCTGGCCAGATAAACAGGAATATAATTGGTTGCATGCTATATGGAGAAAGCTTTTGTATTTTTCACCTTTCTTTTTATTAAAGCATTCTAGTGAAAAGTATCTTTTTCCATGCAGCTCCTCACCATACTTCCAAACTCTGCAGTATGATGACAGCTAATTCTGTCACTGCAGAATAGTGGAGCATCTTCATGGTATTTGCTGGAGAATGGGAGAAGACCTCTGCTGAGGGAGCAGGGCATAAGTTGTCACCCTGACCCAAGCAAGGGATCTGGAGAGGTGTTTAATGTGACTTGACTGTAGTTTATGCATGCCTCCAAAAAAGAGAGATTCCTGACTGTTGAAAGCTCTTGCTAGTGGGTGGGAACATTCATAGAAATCCAGTAGCTGCAAGCTAAAGCTAAATCTAGTTCAGAAAATTTTTTCTTTCTCTCTTTTCCCCTTCCCCAACACTGAAAATAGTTAACTGTTGGGACAAGTTATGTATAGATGAGACGGATTTGCCACAGCTTCAAGCAGTTACCTTCAAAGCAATTGTCTTTCGAAACATATGCCCTGTTTCAAACAGAAGGTGCATTCTTTATACAGGCATTATTGGGGAAAAGTGTTAAACTGATCTAAAGAATAAAGCATTTCTGAAATCCAGACAGGGTTGTGTTATCTTAAGTCCATTCTAGAGATCCTTTGGATCCTTAAATGCCTCTCCCAGGTTGTCTTTCATCTCAAGCAAAAAAAAGGCCGTTTGCTACTTCGGTCTCTCTGTCTGGAGTCCATTTTCCACTTCAAATGCAAACACTTGATTGAAGCCAGTTATCAAACCAAACCTATTTCTTACTGACTGCATTCACCTGGAAACCTTGTGAATTTGGAGAACTTTACAGCTTTTTATTTTGTACAGAAAGAGCAGCATCTCTGGAAGGCATTTTGTACAGGAAGCTTGGGCATTTCAGCAGAGTGTGGTGGACAGTGTTGATTCCAACCAGTAGCTGACTGGCTATCTTTTATTTCTATTCTCCAGTCTTCCTATTCAAATTGTAGGAGTATCCTCCTCTTTTCTCTTCCAGAGCAGCCTTCTTCACTGGGGAACTAAGCCTTTGAGTCTTCCCATTTCCAAAGTAACACGCATTCACCTCTTTACCGTGCCTTTGAGGTACTGCAAGCAACAAGGAAACCACAGGACATGAAAAGAAGGGGAGGCAAAAAAGGGAGGGGGGATATTACTATTGTCAGACCCACTTTGGCTCCCAGAGATATATTGAGTATATCCAGCTTTGTTCTAGGAGGAGTAAAGCCACGTGGAAGTGAATGAAGCCCTCTTTGGACGAGCTATCTTTGTGCAAAGCTGTGGCAGAGCCAGGATGCTAAAACTAGAAGGGCTGAGGAGAGCAGAGCAGAGAAACCCAGCTGCTGACGAGCCCAGATTTGAAAGGTTTTGTTTGCTCAGCCACTATCCCGCACTGAATCCATTCCCCCAGAAGCAGTGCAGGCAACTCCACAGAGCCTGCAAGCTCATAAATAAACCCTGCCGGAGGTGACCTGGCCTGTATAGAGCTGTCTTGGATATCTGCCTTCATGACTGCATTTGTCAACGAACTAGAAAAGCTGCCTGCAGAGAGCTGACTGTAGCAGGCCCCTGAGGTGTCAGGAATCAGTTCATTACTATCATTACCAAACTCTTTCTCTGTACCTCTTCTCTAATTCAGCAAAATATAGCCACTGCATCTTGCCTTCAACTGTTAGGTATATCCTCTTCTGCTGCTGTTTTTTTCTTTATCATGACCCAGTAAAGCATTTTTGGATGCAGCTGGTAGATAAGATAGCAATTACAAGGTATTCTTTTGGATCATTAGTGATATGTCCTGCACAGGGCTCAAAACTTTCTCTGATGGAAGCCTCTTTCACTGGCCTGTTCCTCATGCTGTTCATTGACATCTGCTGATGATAGTATTCTTTTCCCCAAATGTACTGTATTCATGAAAATCTGTACTGAATATCTGAGCTACTGAGGCTCAGACCCCACCAGAGTTTTCATTAATGTACAAGAAGAAAACATGCCAATAGGGGATCATATGAGAAGAAATTATATTTAATGGCACCACTGCTCTGCCATCTGTTAGAAAAAATATGGAAACAGCTACCTAGAGATTACCAATTTATGATGGTTTACACTGTTAGGATACCATAGAGTGAGATTTTTTTTGAGCATTCTTTTATTAGTAGCTAGGAAGAAGAAAAATAGTCTCATAATGTTACCATCAAAATAGTTATTTGTCATTTGCAGGTAAGACTACCTGTGCTACATCTTAAAGTATCCAGTTGCTGCACTATCACCTTTAGCATTGCTGCACTTGCAGCGAAATTTTTTTCTTCTTTTTTTCCTTCACCCCTCTCCCCCCATACATAGAGCATTTGTTTGATGTGTAACATGCCTCATAGCTTATTGGGGAAGTCCTTTGGGTAGATACAGACATTAATCTTCAGACATGGATAAATAGATGACATCCAACAGTATTTAATGCCCATAACTAAAACTATTTCAGTGATTTAATGTAAAGGGCATTATTGGATTTGTTTTGGTTTGCTTTTGCTTGTGGGAAGTACAAATTGGTACTGTCCTTTATGCAAAGAGCTCAGAGAAACATCTGTTCATTGAGGGTGTTTTCCACCCTCTGAAAAACATTCGGATTTTCATCTGAATCTGTGCTGAATTGAGTGCCAAGTCAGGTAAGCAGAAAGTCTACTTCCCAAGTTTAGTAATTTATTTGTATCATTTTCTGCATGTACAGGACTCCTTTCAGGAAAGGGATAAAACCTGCTTTGATTTTTGTGAAATCGGGACTTAACTTGCATTCCTGGCCAAGGAGCATAACCCCTCAGGACCCTCCTGCAGGCAGGACCCCACCCGTAGTTCTCCATACTGAGTAGCAGGGCATAGCATGGTACAAGAGGCATGCTCAATGGAAGTGGTCACAGAGTGCTATGTGAAACCCACTACAGAAATAAAGTAGTGGTTTTGGCTAACCTGAGAAGCAACTGTGGAAAACCAAATATAATCTGGTTTTAAGTGTATGTGAACTGCTAAATTAAAATACATACAAGTAAAAACTAGGTCTGGGAACAAATAAAAAAATAATGAATCTAACAAGGTTTTATTTTTGTTTAAAAGACAATCATGTTTGTGCACATCATAGTGCAGATGCTTTCTATCAGAAAATAGCTCTTTTTGTTTGAAAACTGTAGTACATGCAAAGTGATCCCCAAGCCCCCTTCAGGCAAAATTCCAAATGTTTTGTCCAAACCCTGGAATATTTGTATTTTGTAATGCCATAGCAGTGCCTCCAGAAAATTATTGTACAGGTACACGAAGCTCTCTTGCTCCTCTCTGAGGTATAATACGCTATATTTGAGAGTCTGCCATGGTGTTCCACATAAAGAGAAGAGGAATCGTGGTGTTTTGTAAGAAATGGAGTCTTAAATATGTTCACCTTAAAGAATACCAGGAATTTAAGACACTCAAACTTTAGCTCCCATGAGGGCCTGCATAGTGTCTTCAAATCTCTTTTCTGCTTTTCTCAGCTGAAGCATCTTAGGTATTGACTTTTCACCAAAAACTTGTTTCCCACCATGAAATAATAATAATAAACTGCAACAATAGGTATGTTGTTCCTGTTATTAACACATTCTCTGAAGGGTAGAATGTTTTTCTGATAGGTTTTATTTCAGTGTCTGCTTGTATGAGAATACGTATCTTTATACAAGTCTTTTTTTCCATGTGTGAGAGAATAAAATACATAAAATCTGCTCTTTGAGCTTCAAGAGAAACTTGATTGAGTTTTCAAGGCATTAACATAAAAGTGAAGATTTTTATTAGTTCTAGAATATTTTTCTTTCTCACAGTTGAGCTATGCTACTGAAGTTCTCTGTGACACTGGCATATAACTAGTAAAAACTCAGAGTCATAAAATTTGATATAAAAGAACTTTATGCAATATAACAGAATATCTAATAAGCAATGCAGTTTTCAGAGATGTGGAATAAATATCTTTAAAATGTCACCATTTCATTTTTTTTGTAGATATCTTAAGTGGTAGCTGTAGGAAGATACTGATTTTTATTTTAATGCTGATCATAGCTAGTCAAAAGACTGAACTATTTTTTGAATGAAAATAAATTTGCAGGAAACCTCCCTAAATATTTTGTGATTTTTTTTTTAATTTTAAAAAAAGTAAATGCCAGCTTAGTTATTCATGTGTATTTTGCATATTTGATGTCCTCTTTCTGTATATCTTTCTGCCTTTTTTTCATTCATTCTGCCTACTCTTCTTCCTCCCACCCACTGAAATGCCTTATTTAATTATCTTCCTAGGAAATACTCAAATAGTTCAGCTTTTGTTACAACTGTTTCATAATCTGTTGAGAGCATTTACACTAACTTTCAAAGATTGATACAATAATCTATGTGAGTATGCTGCTGAGAGACCTCTGTGAAGAGATTAGGAGACCATGTACTTTTGATTCATACATGGTATTTTTCCTTCTGAGTCTGTATTGAAGGCATCACTCTGCCTTGTGTCTGGGAATTTCATGTTGCTGCACTTTGTCTGTAATTATCTGCATGTCAGACACCCACTGAAGCAAGAAAAAATGTTAGGGTCAGAGAGGGTACCTCTCCTTTTCCCCTTGGAATTATGAGACAATTAACTGTGCTGCATGCAATTAGAAACAATGAAAAATAAATGAAATGTATGCAGCCTTTATCAAAAAGATCAAAATACCCCTTCTATTTTTTCTGACATTAGTCAGAGTAGAGCATTTAGCCAAGCAAACAGCCGAGGTTGTGTGTCAGAGCACAGCTGCAGTGTTCATCCTGATTATTATTTCTTTGCTTAAGTCCTGAGTCCCTTCCCACAGCTGGAACTATAATGAGAGGTACCTTTGTGGAAGGTGGTATTATGAGCAGCATATAGGTAGTCTGGGATCCTGCTTGGGATGTCAGACTCTTTGGCAGTGGTATCGCTCTAAAAGTGATACCTGGTTCCCGAGGCTATTATTTTTGTCATACCTGTCATACCTGCCTGGAAGAGCAGTGGGTGGAAATTTGGGATTATTGATATTTTGGATCCGGCCATTGTTGCCATCCCCATGTGCAGCATGTAATCTTTCATCTCTGAGCAGACAGGTGAGTTGAGTCCAGACCCTGCATGCAGATTGCTGGGCCGTGCAGAGGTAGGGATCCTTGTCTCCAAAACTATTGAGATTCGGCTCCATGAAAGATGCTTTGCCAGACTTATGTGCCCAGATGCACAGCAGACCTCGACACAGAAAAAGAGCTAGGAGGAGAGAAGACTCATCACTGTGGAGATAAGATATGGTAGCACTCGCCTCTCTATAATTAATAGATAGAGAAATAACTTGAGAGGGCAGTTTGGCTCTGGTAAGGTCAGGATTGGATGCCTGAGGGACTCAGTTTGGTCCATGAAGTACAGTGGGATGAATGCACGTCTGTATACCCTGCCAGAGTCAAAGCCACTGCATCGGCTTAGAGACCAGAGGGCTACCATGAAATACCGTGCTGCATTTTGGGGGCAACAATTTGCCCAGCACACTCAGCATAAAAACAAAGAAATGATCCTTTAGGAATCTTTCTTTCTTTTCTTTTCCTTTCTAGCAGCCGTGTGTGAGTTAGTTGTAGTTGAAGAATAAGCCCAGCTGATACAAAGAGACTGTAGTTTGACAATGCGGTAAATCAGCCTTCAGTATTTCAGTTGCTGAACCAAAATTTCCACAGGTGTGTAATACAAAGGGCTGATTCACTGCAAACTCACTCTGCCAATTCAACCATCTTCGCAGTGTGCTGAGTCGGTCGTGTACCAGCCATCTTGAAGCTGGATCAGGTATTGTCTGGCTGCCCCATGCTATCAGCATGCTGGATCAGGTATCGCGTGTCCTCTTCCTGCTTGGATAAAGTATAAAGCCAGCATAAATGTCATTATCCGTCTCCAGCTAACTTAACAGAAATGCAAACTTGGGCTTATACCTGATCCACGTCAAATTCATCCTGCTGAGGAAACTCAGTAGAGCCCAATTTACATTAATACCCACTGGGCAGAAAGGCAGCACTCTGCCTCAGCTTCACAATCATTCTGCACAAATGAAACACAGTTACAGTCCATACCAGAGAGCATAACGTATCTAAATACAGCGTCTTCTGGGGTCGGTGTTATGTCTGAGCATAGAGCATACATGTGCACATCTGTATCTTAAGCAGTGTGTACCGCTCACAAGTCTTCAAGGTAATTCTGCAAAAGACCTTTCATCTTTAAGTAAGCATCTTTCAAGTATTGCCTTGCATATATATAATGCTGGGAATTTTGGCTGTGGTTAAGCTGTCTCTTTCTGTTTGTTTATTATAATCCAGGACAAATGATACTGGCCTCCTTGCTTTCAAAGACCATTTGCCTGTAACTCAGATAGTGATCACTGACACAAACAGATCAAACTCTGAGGCTGCTTGGAAAATCGGCCCTTTGCGTTGCTATGGAGACAGTGAGTACTAGCTCTTCTCAATTTCCATAGGTACAGAATGTTCCTTTTTTTTAAAAAAAAAAAACCCAACGTGTTTATCTGATGAAAGGTGGCTTTCCACGTGCAGCCCGTAGCTGCTGTCCTGTGCCAATTAACTATAGAGAAGGGGGTTGTGTTTGCAGGGCAGTTCTGGAACGCCGCTTCCTTCAACACGGAGGCCTCCTACCTGCACTTCCCCACCTTCCATGCCGAGGTCAGCGCGGACATCTCCTTCTTCTTCAAAACTACTGCCGTCTCTGGGGTGTTCTTGGAAAACCTTGGGATTAAAGACTTCATACGAGTTGAAATGAGCTGTAAGTTTCACCGTTGAGAAATCTTGGTATATTTGCCCAATTTGACAGGTGCAGGGAAGTGTGAAGGACATATTTTCTTCTGTCTTGAGATGGTTGGATGTGCCTGAAGAGGATAAGATGGAGGCATAAAGACTCATTAATCTGGATTTATCTACCTCTCCTTTCAGATTTTCCCTGTATAGCCTTGGTCATTACAGTTAATCTTGTTATGGCTAGGTTTATCTTTCTTAAACAAACAGGTGACTGAATTTGTTTTTTCAACACCGATATTAATTTTTTTCTTTGCTCTTTATAGAAAAGCTACTGGTTAGATGTACCTGTAGACTGCAATTTTAGTTGAAAGATGAAAAATTTAATACAACCACTCTGATGGTTACTTTTATTTCTGTATCACCAACATACCCAGTCTGATGCAGCCCTACTGTTTCAGAGGAACTCAGTGGGTATGGTACAGCTACGAGGTGAGAGTCTATGGAGGACAGGATGCTAATGCAAGATAAGTCAGTCACAGTTGTAATGGGCCTTGAATACTTCAAAATCTAGTAAGTGACTGCAGTACAACTGCTACTCAGTATTTAACGGACAATAGCAGGGAACTTAATTAGTGAGGTTTTGCCTCACTCTTGTTCTGATGACTTCAAATATTTATTAGTGACAAAAGGGTACCATGGCTTTCACATGAAATATGACTTCTGTATTCCAAATTCTGTCAAGCTTAGGAAAAACAAACTGAGTGCTATGCATTTTATAATATGCTTATAATAACTCCAACATAAAATTTAATAAAACAGGGCCCCAAGGCCCTTCGATTCATTAAACCAATGGTAAAAGTCATGGTGCATTATCACAATGTAATGAGGTATGATTTACTATTAATTGCACATCAAAGTCCAATTTGGTTGTTCTTCAGTGTACTGCATTTCATTCTCAGGGATATAGAAGTAAAAATGTCATTTTGATATCAAATATAGCAAATACTGCAAACAACTAGGAGGATTGTTTAGTGAAAGCTTTTGTATGTGTGTTAAATCTGTACTCCCAGAGAAATGAGTTATTTAAAAGTTTGGGGAAAGTCTTGTCTTTTAAACTTAGGCTTCTCATTAATAGTTTGGTGGTGTGTTTCTTGCTGCCAGATGGAATTTGCAGCCTAAAGGCCTTGTATCAAGGAAGTTCCACAGACCAGCTGCTTCAAAGTGAAACGGCCTTTTAGCAGATGCAGGGGCTCAGAATAGATCTTTGTCTATCCCTGTGGAGTGTTTCCTATCTTAACTATCTAAGAAGCAGCTTCCAAAACCAGACCTATCCAATTTGTTGGGCTTGAAATAACAGGTTTTTATGAATTTTCAATCCACAGCCTTCTGGTTGTGTGGTCTGTGGACGTGGTTCTTGGTCTTTCTGGTGTATTTAGCATTTTAGGAAGAGGAAAAATAATCAATAACAAGAGTGCTAAAAAGTTCTGGCCCCTTTCAGGCTTCCAGCAGAGCAAGATGGACTCCTTTATATGGTTGTAGTTTTTCAATTATCATCCTGTTTATAGGAGCCTCACTATCTCTGGACATGTGTTACATATGCCCCTTTAGTTTAGGATCACCAGTGAACTAGTTTTGCTCATCTGTTTTTCCTTGCTTCCCAGGTCAGGCTTATTCAGGCAAAGAATGCTTGTAGGATTCTCTCCTACCATTTGCAGCTAAGTTCTGTAATTGTTAAGTACATGCATTTTGAAAGGTTTAGTCAGAAAGAGCTCCTTCATCCTTTCTCCCACCTTAGCATTATTTGTCCAAAATATTTTGCTACCATTGTGTGACTTTTGTACAGCGTTTGACACTTTTACTTCAAAAAGAGAATAAACTACTATTTCTAGAGCACTGTAATTGTTATAGCAAAAAAGATGGGTACCCACAGCCAAGCATAATCACAGCAGAGATCAAACAGTGAGGCTGCAGGCTTAGATTTATGTATAAGCTGCTGTGTAGGAGATGGGAGGTAAATGATGCTGTACTATTTGCTGACATAAAAGTTAATGGACCCTATATTTATGTAAGATTTCTTGATGTCAAAACCACGATTTAATTCAGACCTTCACTTCCTCTTCACATCTGTTTATCTATTCCAGCCCCCAAAGAGATCACCTTCTCCATAGATGTTGGGAATGGCCCCACAGAAGCCACTGTGCAGTCTCCCACACCCCTGAATGACAACCAGTGGCACTACGTCCGAGCGGAGAGGAACCTCAAGCAAACCTCTCTCCAGGTGGACAGCCTCCCCAAGAAGGTCCTGGAGGCACCTGCTGAGGGGCACTTCCGCTTGCAGCTCAACAGCCAATTATTTGTAGGTAGGGACCATTTAAGGGTTTCTGTAGATACGTACAATATTTCTATGTCCATACCTTGGTAATGCTATTGTTTCACCATTGAGCTTGCATGTGGTGACCTAATTCTGCTTTCTCTTCTTCCACTCCTGCAACATAAAGTAAACCCAAACTACTGCCTTTACACTCAAAGCACTAACCATAGTTTAACCATACTATACTAGACGGTATTTTTAGGGTCTAGATTGCTTGAAACATATTTATTGACAAAGAATTCATAGTATTTCTTCTTGCGCAGCACTGGCTGTGTAATTTGCTGTAGGAAATGTGATCTCTCTTTTTAGATGCAATGTAAAAGGCACAAATTCATCATATAAGTTTCTGGGGCAAAACCTGATGACAGTATGGTCTTCAAGTCTGTTCCTGTTTGCCTGCCAAAACCCTTATTTGGCCATAGAGTGCATATGTGAGAGAACTATCAACACAGTCAAAGCAAATACAGTTATTTTAACTGAAGGTGATCTTTCAAAGGGGAAAAAAAAAAATCTCTGTTTGCATATAGTTTGTTTCCCTATCTCCCTTGCAAATGAAACCTAGATCGGGACCAGCTTGTATTTGATAATATAATCAGGGATTACAAAGGGACTTCTCCCTTTTCTGTATTCAAACACTGTCTTTCTGAGTAATCCACTCAGTGATGGAGTGGGCTGTAACCTACTTCTTATTCAGGGCCACTCAGGTAACTACTGATCCTTTCCTTAAAATGGATTTTCTTACTTAGCTGAAATGCTATAGCAAACCTCAATCTGTCAATTCATTTTAATAAAGTTTACTGGTGTATCCACACCCTTTGATTTAAGAAGATTTTGGGATATTTATTTGAGCTTTTTATAGTGTATGTGTGCAGTAATTACTGGGCTCTGAACGTAAGGAATGAATCTGTTAATAAATAGATATAGCTGCATCAATGGCCAGGAGTCCTTCCCACATAGCTGTTGATTTATACCTGAAATGATCTCTGGTAGACTCAGCCAGAGGAAAGTTCACTGAAGAACTCACAGAAGGGAAGCTTAAGACTGTCACAGTGCAAGGTTTCTGTTTTCTGGTATGAAGCACGCTGCTAATCACTTGTTTCTCAAATGCTAAGATGATCCTAAGAACATGTTCTGCGGGAGGCCAGGCCTGAAGGCAGTAGGGTTGGACTGCTAGACGCCTTAGAAACATCAGAGAAATCTAGCCAAGGTACTGTTTCCAGTTAGAAAACTTAGAGAATTTAACGACTGGATAGACTTTTGCAAATTTGTGTCTTTTTAAAGGAGTAAAAATGAAGGATTTATCATAAGTCATCTATCAGGTATGTCATATATATCAGCTGCTTACCATCTCACATCTGAAAAGCAGTATCTGCCTATAAGCTTGATTCTCTGTCTCAGCAAAATAAACAGGTTACCTGAATGAACTTCATGGTGGTTTTAAAGTGACATAATTGATGAACTGCATCATGGAAATCCATGGTAGTTAAGGACTTCAACAGAGAAATGTGCCAGCAGGAACCCTTGTCAGCAAAGGCAAATGCAAAGCCCTGCACCTGGGGCAGAATAACATCATGCCTCTGTACAAGCTGGGGATTGAGTGGATGGGTAGTAGCTGTGCAGAAAAGATCCTGTTGGTCTTGGTGGAGAAGTGAATCTGTACCTCACTGAATGTAGCTGTGCTTTGAGGAACAGATTGGACCAGCTGATCTCCAGCAGTGACTTCAAACCTAAATTTTTCTCTGATTTTCCTTAATATTTACATTAAACTCTAGGACATAGTTACTTTATCTCAGCCAAGAGGTGAAAAATTCTCACTGTGCAGTAAATAGATTGCATTCAGTTGTCCATCCACACTTTTACTGAACTCTGAACAAAAGTGACAGAAAACCTAATGTTTTTAGGAGTGCTTTTTCAGCCCTTAGCTCTACCATATTGAAGGCCAAAACAGTCCATGACTTCCTGAGTCTTCCTCAAAGCAGTCAGAAGAGATGGAAACCTGGGCAGCCTCCTGATTCTGACACTGTCCCCGGGTGCTCCAGGGAAAGGTGGCGGAAGTCCAACAATACACAGATGTGGCATAATTTGTCTTTACTGAAGATCTCATTCCAATCTCTAATAGGAAGCAACTGATTTAATACAGTCATGTGGGGTGAATTTTATCCCATCTGAAAAATAAATGCATAAACAACATTGTAAAAAGGAAAGAAGCAGCAGCACATATTAGTCCCTACTCCCCCTATAATCCACAACATATTTGTTTCTGCAGCATTCTGCATACTGACAGTGATTAAGGGGTTTCCACAATTACTATGCACATTCTTAATTAATAATCTATATAACTGATGAGATTTTCTATTTTAAAAATTTTCCAAATATTTTTTGATTGAATCTCCCTATTTCATTCCATTTAAACATGGAACTTTGTTTCCACACTGGAGGTAGCTAGTCATTAAGATATAACCTTTTTTTTTCTTGATTCTTCTCCAGAATCAATTCAAGTATTTTGTAAATCTCATAAATAAGGCTCAATGTCAAAATTTAATTTAGTTTATTTATCTTCTGGAAGGATTTATTGATCCTCTGGGATGAAGGAACTATATTAGTATCATGTAGCATTATGATGATGATCAAATGGAGATCCACTGTAGCTTTCAAACTATCATTATTTTCCTGTTGCTTCAGAGACATCAGCCTATGCACAGTATATGTGAGGCGGTTTTGTGTCTTTTCCTTTTAGGGATTTATATAGAGTAGATCACACATATAAAATAAATCTGGACATTTGTAAAATTTGACTACAGGGGCAGTTGGCATATAACAATTTTAAAGGAGTTCTGCTAATTTGGACCAATTAATTCCTTGTCAACTGTTTCTGCCTCTTTTATGAATGAGTTATTTACTTCTGGTTTGGCCAGATTTTTCCTTCTTAACACAAAAACCAGATATATTTGGGACGGTATGTAAAGAAGAATATAGCTCTTTGTTTTTTATATTCGTTTGTTGCTTTTTTTTAAAAGTTGGCCTGTCAAACAGACCTTTTACTTTCTCTGATTTATAGTAAAGTAAGTTGAACAGAAGCCTTCTCCAGCAATGTTAACAAAACAGTTGTAGGCAGTCATGGAGCTGTGCTTCATTTACTTCTGATCCGGCGATACTGACACGTTGTGAGGAAGTTAATCAGCCTTTAAATACTTTGTAAGGAAGGGAATTAAGAAGGCCTGACTTTCCTTGGAAGTTTATTTTCAGATTGGCTGACTTAGGTATTGTAGGAGATTTAGGCTTTTACTGAAGATTTTCCAATGACTAAGCACAGTGAATGATTTCTATTTTATGTGTGTAGGTTCCTTTATGTACAGTAAGGGATGAATTCACACTTCTGTCTTCCTGAATGGAGACCTTGATGCTGTTTCTCTCTTATTTACCCTGCTACCAGTTTTCTTGAAATATGGGAGAACATAATATTCTCTCTCTTAAATTTGGGCAAGGAATTAAAAAAGGCTGGATTTGGAGATAAAAATATACCACATGTGTGAGCAAATATTCTCTTCTATAAGAAACCAAATGAAAAAAAAACAAATCACAACAACTGTCTAGTCCTTTTAGATGGAGAAAACACTGACCATGAACTAATGCAAAGCTGTGTCCTGAAGACTGTGAAAAATGTGAACTTGAGTTGTTTCAGAGGGATATTAACTGATATATAATGACAGCGAGTTCAGGGTTTGGATGTCATGGTTGCTTATTCCAGCAGAGAAATCCAGATGTTCAGAGACTATAGCAGAACCTGGGAGTCTCACCATGACTTATGTTGTCCCTATGCTAATTTTGAGTTGTGCATGTTCATGAACTTAAGCCTGTCTGGGTCATTGCTAGGGTGAAAATCAATTTTCAACTTGCTCTATGTACTTAGGTGTAACCATAGGTGTGTTTAATGTTCTTAAAGTGCATTTCTATCGAGTATCTCTGAATGTTAGGCATGTCTTACTGGGCTTGAACTCACATTGCATTACTTGGATTGTGAGTACTATCTGCAAGAAGGCTTCTTCACTCACTTCTGGCCTTGATAAGCATAAAGTAGCTGTAATTCATTATCTGCACACTAATGCACCCAAAAATACTTCCATTTTGGAGCTGGTACAACACTGCAGATAGAGAGGTTCACACGAGTTTTACATATCCTGGAAAGATGCACTCACGTAGTGATTTCTGTTTACCCTAAAGTCTCTTTAATACATCGATATTGTATAAAAGGAATTGATAGAGCTGAGAATCAGATCCTTCTTCCTATATGCTCGTAGTACTCATTGTATTTACAGAAATGCTGGAATTTGGGTGTCATTTTTTTTCCATACCTCCTGTTCTCCATTCAGTTCTTCCTTGCCACCTTTCATTGCCCTGTTTTGTGTTTGGTTCGATGGTCTTGGGTGTTCTTGCATCTTGCTGACATGATGTCTGCCCTGCACGTCTGTCTTTGGGGGATGTTCCCCTTTGGGGAGCAGAACCTAAGCATTTGCTCTGGCCAGCATGCCACATAGCTTGTGTAAGAAATAGTCATTGCCTGATGTTCCCAGGATTCTGCTGCAGTGATGATTTCTTACACATGCTGTTCAAAATAAACCATAGAAAATGGCTACCTTCTTATTGGATCTGCCTGGAGATAAAAGCAGAAGGAGGGGAGTCAAAATGAAGGTGTTCAAATCTAATCCCTCTCCTTTTATCTCCTCATCCATAGCAACACAATGTGACAGTATTTGAATTTGCAATTCTTGTTTTATTCCATCACTTCCTATAAATATCTGTCTGTATCCAATTATGGTTCCTCTCTGTTATGGAGAAGCTGTTCTGCATAGTCAGTAAGAGACAAAAGTGTAGATTAAGTAATGTTTTATGATTAGCTGTTGTGTTAAATGTGTAATTGACTCACACGGCACTTATGTATTTATCTATGTAGTACCAGAAAGAGGTTTTCTACAGCTACACTTGTTGCAATAACTTAGAATAAAGACAGAAAGTCTGCTTAAGGCCGACATTGGCACACATGGAGTATGTGGCAGGCTTCTGAGATAGCTTTCTGTATGCGCAAAGTGGAAGGGAGAAATGACTTTTCATTGCCAGTACACTCAAAATCAAACAAGCTTGGATTTTAAAGCAGCCTAGAGGAGGTAGCAAACCATTTCTCACTTTCTTTCAGTGGGTCTTGTGTATCTAACTGCTTTAGGCTGGTTTATAATCCTCAGTCACAGCATGGATATCCTTGCATCTGGCTGTTTTTCTTCTGTTAATTTAAAAAAATGACAGTAGAAAGAGCAAACCCCAAACAAATGTACACGCTAGATAATATGAACGGCACCAAACTGCCCAGCAAGAGGCCAGTTTGGCACATTACTTGCTCTGAAGGGACAGGCAAAAATAATTCCTTTCAATGGACAGTCGCTTTCAGCATTCAAAATGAGTGACATCCTTTTGGATAGTGCAGCTGTCTCCTGGTATATCCCTGTGGTCCTGGAGGAGGTGTATCATCATCTCCTCTCATGGTGTAGTCTGAGATGAAACTCTGTCTTATCTAGTGGAGAAGGCATGAACATAACACTCCAGTATGGGGACGGGAAAGACAGTCCTCACAGACCTCTTCGAGAACAGGATTTGCACTCAGACTGGTAACATCAGAGAAGCAAAATACAAAATCTAAGAAGTGAATTTGATGCATAAAGCTTTGATCAGAATTTTTTGTGCTATGCATTTGGTATGTTAAGGAGAATAGCAAAATTAAGTGCTTGGGTTCCTGGTTTTGTCTTGGAGCAAGGGAACGAGGAATCCTTGAGTGAATCTCCTCTGTCTGTTGTAGACAGTCCAAATGCAACATAGCCCAGAGAGAGTCAACATCTGAGAAACTTTCTTGGGAGACAGACAAAAGGAAGGAGAGAAAAAGAAGGGGCACAGTTTGTTTACTGCTGTTGTTTTTAAAGAAATCTGTAGACACTTTGGGATATCTTGGAGGCCAGGAGGAGGAATTAATGCTTAACTCCTTGTGTATCCTGACTGCTTTGTACAACTTTCAGTTTGAGACTAACAAGTGTGACTTGGATGTCTTCTGAGGAATATCATAGCAAGTTCTTTTACTCCTGAGTAATAATAATTATGATTCTTATACATTCATGCCCTTTCCTTTTCTTTGAATACTTCTTCACACCGCTTCAGCCTCCCTAATCCAGTTCTTACCAACAAAAAGTCCTTTGCTTTTTAAAGCAAATCCTCAATTCATTGATAGAATGTTAATTATTTAGCCAATTGTGTCACCAAGCTACGAGTGCTCAGTTGTGAGCTTCTTGCCCCCTCCTCTCAGACTCTCTCTTCCTTGCCCCAAGGCTTCTCAGTAAAATTCAGCTGCATAAATACCTTGCTGAAAACAGCATGGCTCATTTGACTGTCACCTCCACTCAGCAAAGAACACCCTTAACCTTGGTGTTTACAGTCCTGAGGGTCATCCTAAAATTTGTTTTTCCTGAACAAAACATTTAGGTCACATCCGTGAAATTGTCCACTCCAACAGGCCTATTAGAATAGGAAGAATCTGGAAAGCCTAATTTGGGGAAGAATTTTGTTCATTTGTTTTCAGTTTTTCTCTGCTTCACAGGAAGGTATTTGAAGATTAGGTCTACTCAATTGAAGAAAACTGCCCAAATGTCCAAATAATAAATAGATTTGCTTAATCAATACTGTGTGGATCTAGGATCATATAGATGGTCTCTGTTAGGCTGTATACTCTCCAGATATTAGAAGAGAAGAGTGAGAAACTTACTTTACATGGCTTTCCAAAGTGCTTTAGAGAGCAGTAAGAATACGGGTAGTGCAATAAACATGACATCTGTGGAATAATTAGCAATAGTTTGTACTCATTCTTTAAATGTTACAGCTGGGATTTGTATGTGTGCAGAGAGAAGAGGCAAGGAAACTGTCATTCCTCCTTGTAATGTTTGTGGTTACCTCCCATGCAAAAAAAAACAGAGTAACCAGTAACCTTAACGGGAGAAATCACATTTCTACTTATTTGGACATTACTGAAATTTCTGTATGGTATGTTTGGTTTTGGAGTAAAATCTCCAAAGAAAAGGATTGAGTGTGCACAGTGCAGCAAATGCAGAAGGCCCGATTCGTGTGCTCGAGGGCCTTTAAAATAAGTGAGCTAATATTTGCTCACCTGAAAAGAATAGCTGGCTAAAGAGGAATCTGAAAATATTTGTTTCTCTGAGAAAGGCACCATGAAATTAGCATGAAATAAACCTGTCTCACACATACTATCTATAGTTCAATTATTCTAATTCAAATCCAGTATTTCTGCTATTAGTGTACCAGAAAGAAAAATATGCTAGAACGGTATAGCAGAACAATAGAGTTTTGGTGAGATTGCTTTTCACACCATTGCTTCATTCTCTTAGTTTGCAGAAGTCTTTCTTTAATTAAACAATTTATGAAAAAACAGATGTTCTTCTGCAAGGACTTATCAAAAGATGTAATCTCTTATCTCATGGACTTTGATATACAACCAACTTCAACAGAAGAACAATTTGGAAAGATAACTTCTTTCATACTACTTTTGCAGGAGAATCACCAATAAAGCTAGCATTTCAGAGCCTACAAATGCTGATAACTCCTGAACCAGAATCAGATTTCTTAGCAGCAATCAAAATTGCAGTATCTTCAAAAGCAAAACATTGGCAACTGCCAAACAAAGCCTACAATAAGAAATATGGTGATATTTGCACAAAGTACTCTAACAATCATCATTATTGTCATTCTCAGAGACCACCTCTTACAGAAAAAGTGTCTTCATTGTAACACTGTTAGCAATTTCATTGGGCAGATAAGAAGCTAGTTAGCTTGTAGAGACTGAACTGCCCTCTCGCATAGATCCATACAGCTCTGGTCTTCAGGAAGAAATGCAATTATGTTTAACAATTGTAATAAATAACACTCCTGTGACCTGAACTCATGTGTCTTGCCTACAACAACTATTCATGTGCAACATCAGGTTGGGCAGTCATGCATAAATTCTGATTCAAGTCATTTCCCTTCAGCCAGCAGGCCTGGTGCTGAACATGATTCATCCCTGCTATCTGGACTCATCAGCATGTGTAACTCACCTGCTGTTGGGATTAAGGTGTTATTTATACTCTGTACTATGGCAACAAATAGAAAAAAAACATTTTAGGTTTGGGTTTCTCATGTATTAGGTGATATGCAGACATACGATAAAGCAGCTAATCTTTTTCCCAAATGAATTTGCAGTTTAAATGCCAGACAGGGCAGTAGATAAGGCAGGGAAGAAGAATGGCAACAAGAAACTGTCACATACAGCTTTTTAGTCCTTCCATAAAGATAAATAGAGACCTTTAGTTTCCAGGGCTGTCCATCTGTCATCTTTTGCCACTGTGTGCATTGATATATAATAGATAATATTATTTAAAATTCATGGATTCATATTTGTACCTCTGGATTGGACTTCCGGGCTTTGATTGGTGTACAGACTCACCAATGAATGCATGTCCTTTTTTCTCTCTTTTTCAGGGGGAACAGCTTCCAGACAAAAGGGCTTTTTGGGATGCATTCGATCTCTGCATTTAAATGGACAGAAACTTGACCTTGAAGAGAGAGCTAAAATGACACCTGGTGTTAAACCTGGATGTCCAGGACATTGCAGCAGTTATGGTAACCTGTGCCATAATGGAGGAAAATGTGTGGAGAAGTATAATGGTTACTCCTGTGATTGTACCAACTCAGCCTATGAAGGACCTTTCTGCAAGGACGGTAGGCAGCGAGCTTTGATCCTAAGTCCTTAGTGATCTCTAAATTACAGCACAGTTTCACCCATGTCAGCTTGGTGTCCTCCATGTTACACGAAGGCATTGTAATCTCAGCTGTCCCTTCAGCATTACTAAGTGTTCATCTTAAGCAGGTTGTAACGCCTCCTTTTGTTGACTTCAGTGATGGCCTCAGGAATTAAAATGGTGTTAGTTTTACTATTGAAGTTACCAACTATATCCCACTATGATTCCTGTATTCGATTGCATATAACTTAGCTCAGACATTAACAAATAGGGCTGAAATTTTTCATAACAGTTGTCTGCCCATGTCTGAATGTTTAGTTTGCTTGTTTTTAAACCTCATCCAGCTTTGTCCACCTTAACAAAATCTTGAGAGCTTTTCTTTAGGGAGTTTTGGAGCAACGGTGTGACAAAAAGAGGTAGTCTTTTTATGTTTGTTTTTTTTTTTCATTCCTGTGACAACCCATCCAAACGTTAAGAGATTTTAAAAATAAGCATGAACCATTCAGGAGAAAACTGATTTGCATGGTTCGGTCTCTGGTGAATGTGTCCTCACTGAACCTTTCTGGTGGCTTGTAGGACATATTGCCAACACCAGATAAAGGAGCAGGGCAAATAAAGAACTTCCAATTTAGATAAGCATGCTCTTTGGGAGAGGAAGGAATTAGCAAAACTCCTGTTCAATAACATCAAGGTGCAGTGTGAGTGTTTTAAATTCCACAGCTGCCCCTCACCTCACAAATGCGACAGGTTTACTAAGTGGGCCGCATCATCTGCTGCTGTAAATCAGCTTAGTTGTACTGCAGTCCATGGAAATATGCTCACTTATATGAGCTGAGGATTTGGCACCAATGCCACAAGAGGCGTATCAAATAACCACAGTGTCCTGTTAGGAGGTGCTGCTGTACAGGTGGAGCTGCTTTATTGGAGAAAGTACTTGCAGTCAGTCTGTAGCTGAAGATATCACCATCCTGACTTTAATGTGCCTCATATTAGAAAAAAATGCTGTTTTCACATCTGTGTATTTCATGGCCAGACTATGTTGTGTTTATTGAAAACACAAGCATGAGTTCTCGGGATCTGAGCATGCACAGGTAGATGTTTCTCTTCTTTTGGAGCTACCAAAGACAGCTTTCCTTACTGGCTGTCTTTGGGTCAATGTGTTGCTTTAATAATGACTTTGTTTAAAAAGGAGACTGGAAAGGACAAATATATTGTCTTTACTGTGGGGGGAAGACAGAAAGTATTGCCTTACATGTCAGCTGTCAGAAGATGGTGAACCAAGCATTTATTTGGCTGACAGACATTTTGGCCTGTTCCATCTTGTGGACCTCTCATTCCAGCACTAAAATAGTTGAATTCAGGGGCCTGTCTCCACTGTCCTTCTCTTTGCCAGACAGACAGTGTAAGGAAGGACACACTGCTTGTCCAAATTAAGGAACGGTGATGTCAGCTGGGTCAGGGGCATTTTGCAGTGTTCTGCTTCTGAGGCAGTCAGCTCATGTCCATGCCTGTCTGGGAGATCTGAAAATGCAATAGCTGAAATTATTCCCTTGGTTTATATATGCTTTCAGAGGTTTCTGCATTATTTGAAGCTGGCACTTCCATTACCTATATTTTCCAAGAACCTTATCCTGTCACAAAAAATGCAAGCACCTCAAGCTCTGCCATTTATGTGGATGCTGTCATGTCCAAGGAAAATATTGCATTTAGCTTTCTCACAGCACATACTCCAAGCCTTCTGCTGTACATCAACACCTACTTTCATGAATATTTGGCTGTGATTCTCTCCAAGAATGGTAAGTACTCTTGATTTGCTACCAAAGGGAGACCAGCGTAACTGTGAGAAAACTGGTTTTTGTGAGAATAGTATAGAATTCTGCACTGATTTAAGTTAATTTCTGTGTCTGCAACTTTATCAACTTCATGGTATTCAATTCATGCAAATGGCCATCACTCTTGTTTATGTCCCTTTATTTGGCATTCAGTGGTACGCTTGCCTATTCAGTCTTCAAATAATCAGGTTGTTGGGGCTTAAAATGTGCTTTGACTTTCATTTGGCAAGACTGTACAATAGCAATTCCTTGCTATTTATTCCACGCTGAGATCCATTAGGCCTCCAAGATAAGAGAATGAGAAATACCATGAATGTACAAGAACACTTGATGCAGAAATATATTATCATTTTATCTTTTGCATTCTGTCTTGGCACATGTATTGCTCTTCACTGGGTTGTTTCAATGGGATGTGGCCAGTACGTCTGAATATTAAAGCCAGAAAATGTCAAAGTTTTCTAGGTTCACTGACCAAAACATGAGGTGTAAATCCATTTTCTATTAAAAGGTACATGGTGTGGGGACTTTTTGAAAACATGTAAAGATTTTAGAGGCGTAGGCCCTATGTCTTCTCAATAAGACTCTGGCTTCTGACTCCTTGCAGTGCTTTCAGAAAACTCACTCCAGACAAACATCATCCTAGACAAATGGGGATGTTTGAATTATTCAAGATTTATCAGGCACTGGAGCACTAAAAGTGATGAGTAAGCATATTGGTGAGTCGCTAGCCTGTGGCAGAACAATAGAAAGTTAATGCTATGTGGTTGAATATGTGCATTTGACTGAATGACCCAGACCACCCTGAAGCCTTGCAAATTCCAAAATAGTTAAGCTTTCAAGTACTGTCAAATGAAACTATAAGGAAAAAAAATAGGTTTTATTCTCTATATGGACTTTGCAGTAGTTTATCTCCTGGTTATGTCATGCGGCTAGCATTCAGGATGGCCTGGGATGAGTATCCGAATCCCTAGGAGGGGCGGCTGAGACAGTAACAGCCTGGACCCATCTCCCTTAAGCAAAGCCACGGCAGGGTAGTGGGACTATTGAGGAAACCCTCTCTCCTCTCCTCTCCTGTCCAGTCCCAGATTTCCATCTCTGATTTGCTCTCAGAGGCAAGTGTTTATGATTATCAGATATATGGATATTCCAGTGCATAGCTCCAGGGTGGCAGAGGTTAGCCCCTGCTGAGGTGAAACCTTGGAATCTGCTTCTCAGTTACACTCGATTCTCTTGATGCCACTCAGGCAATCGAAAATAGCCCTAAAGTGAATGAAAATGTGATATCCATTTAAATCGCCTTTACTGCTGCTAGAGTGGTGTAAAATTACCTTAGAAACACAAGTCAATTGACTTTTATTGATTAAATACAACCATAAGCAAGCTATAATTGTGAAGTTCTGGAAGGAGTGACTCTAATGGTGGTTGGGGGCGGGGGCTGGGATCAGGACACTGGGATCTCTTGTAGCAGCTCAGCAGGAGCAGAGATAAGCCTTGCATTTTGGCAGCTGCACCATCTGCAGATCTCCGCTTTGATTCAGGTGGAGATAGGGACTCTCAGTACTTCCAGAAATTAGGTGGAACAGCTCTCAGCACACTCAGGCAGTTTAAACAGTGGTGCTTTACTCAGATCTGTACCTCTATTTATTCACTTGTAAAATGAAGATAACAGTAGTTTAGAGGGTTGGTGAGATGTCAGGCTCCAAAACTCTGGACTATAAAATGTAGCACTATATGCAAAGAATTATTAAGATAACTAACTGACCTTGGTTAACTCCTGAAAGTCTCTTTCAGGGTTACACTGTGTGTGCTTCTTTGTCATTCTTTCAAGGCATTCATTTGTCATGTATATTCTCTGCCTTTTGTCCCAAATGTAATAATTTTTTAAATCTCATGTCCTCTTATTTTTTAGTCTTGTTGGAATTGAAATTATTCCAATGAAAATAATGTTCAGATATGTTACTCTTTCTTCCTCCAAGAGGTTTATGCTTGCCATAAAGTTACTGGACTATGAATAACAATGTCCTTTGTAGCATTAAAAGTGAATGCATTTCCTTCTCTCTTACTGGCTCATTTTCAAGGAATCTTGCTGAGTCTGAGAGTGTATAGTAGGACCTAAGCAGGTCCTTGCTGGATAACTGGTTGGTTAAATAAAGGTTAGGCTCCTGGTGAAATGGGAATGGGCATTCTCACTTAAGAGGTGAGCAGTAATATTCTTTGCCATAATCCCAAGACCCTTTCCACTTGTTAAGAAACTATGTTGGAACCATCTACGTATACTTTAATACTTCACCTTTTGCAAGTATTTTTCAAGCTACTACTCATGTATGTTATTATTCCTCTTTTCTATTATCCACAAAATAACTAGGCAAATTATTAGTTAATAAAAGTGACAATAAGAATAATGTTTCTGGTAATTCAGACTTCCTGTGTTAAACATTTAACATAAAAGAAGTGAAAGTGTCTGCAAGGCTTATTCATAGTTAGACTATATTAAAAGGGGCTTATATGAAAGTGAACTTGTATAGGCAGCCATGGTCTAATGCAGTCAGATGTGAAATGTTTTCTGTAAAATCAATTAGTTTCAGTAAAATTAATAAATAATCATATTTAACCCCAACACACTTTGGACAGTCTGTAAAGAAGGTCATATCATTAGAAGATACAGTACGTATTGATTGAGACACTAGACTTGTGGTAGTAAAATGATTCATTGAGAGTTACCCAACAGGCCAGTGTCAGGTCTGGGAAAGGAAATAAAATCTCCTCATGCCCATTCATAGCTTCACCCACCCAGATCAGTGCTGCCCACACAGAAAGCCTTCCAGTGCTTGCAGCCTTAGAGGGCAGGTGGTTCATGAAGGAGGTAAAGTTATGACAAATGTTGGGTACCACCATATGTCAATGTAGAAGTTAAAATTCTAGACCTATACAGATTACCCCCGTCTATAAAATGAGATGCTCAGTAGTGCCTAGCAACTAATATTTCTAGAAACAGTTCGCACCCAAAGAACTTCTCTATATCACAAGGTTGTTCTGATCAATTGGCTCATGTCCTGGCAGCTTATGGGTAAGTTTTCAAAAGTTGATGTTTTTAAAGACTTTAATACTTACGCTTCTAAATCTAAATGTGCCTTTGAAAATTGTATACAATAACTTAGCACTGTCCTCTCCTCTCCAACCTTACATAGTGTACCCATGGATTTTTAAATTACATATATATTACATCTATATATATTACATATATATAGATGTGTATGTATTGTATATAGATGGGTATGTATATGTGTATATAGATGGGTATATATGTAAAGCTCACGTAGCCCCATTGATCCCACATCCAAAAGATTAACAGTACTGCAATAATTGGCAGTGCATTTTAATATCAGTGCCCATTACTAAGCTACAGAAAATGGGTAAACATCTCTAATTAGCCTTTTCATTGCGTCAGTCCACAGAAGTTATTGACATCAGGAGAAGCTACTGCCAAGAAAAAAATAGTTTTTTCTTTCCCAGGCTAAATTTTCACTGTACATTTTTGCGTTCACATGATTTCACCAAGTTACCAGTACCTTAGTATTGTTATCTTTGCCTTGATCCCTAAAGACAATAATCGATGGGAGAGAAAAATGTTGAGTAAGAAACTGTTAGTGCTTCTCCTTTCTCCATTCCTCCTCCCCCCCGACAAGTAATCAAATGTGATATGAATACGATGAAGTATATTGTCTAGAAAATGTTTTCCCAAGTCTTTGATTCTTAGTGTTGTTGGCTTTCTCCATGGAAACAATATGATTCCTAATCTAGAAAAACAGCAGATAGCCAGCATCAAAGAAAAGAGATAGGATCTCAAACTATCCTAGAGTGATTGAAAACTTATCTGTATTTATTATCTGATCTCACAAGAAACTAAACAATCTGAGTCCTTTTTTTACCTTTCGTTCTATCCAGTACCTATTGCCATCACAGTGAGCTCTGTTCTCAATTTCTTTTGGAAAGCAAGACTCTGAAATTGCATGGGAAGGATTAAAGACAAGCAAAAAGGCACAGTTAAAAAGAAAAGTACAAATGAAAACAGCTTGAGTAATTCTTTGGTTAGGTCTCTGATACTCAGAATATAGTAGCAGGACCTACATCAACTCCATTGCCCTGTCCTATAAGGTCTTGAAATCAGCTGATATTTGAAGTAAATAGGAAAAAAAACCAAAACCTGTAATAGAGGTGAGCTGAATTAACGCTCTGCAGAAAAGAAGCAAATGTCGTCAGTGAGAAGCTACTGATTTTTTTCTTTTTAATAAACAAGAAATCTACTGTAATCTCCTCCTGTCTCTAAGTCAGAAGCAGCCTTTCTGTTGAAGGCATGTAAATTCTCCTTATTGTTTTTGCCTTGCAAGTCTGTTGAGCTGCATTTCCAACAACTTTTCTCAGGAAAAAACAAAGCTTTTGTCATTCAGTGGTAAAGAAAGGCAAAAAATCTAGTTCAGTCTTTGAGGCAAAGAGTCTTTTGATTCTGTTCACGCTGTGCACTCTGGAGTTCAATGGGGCAAAACTAAAATAATTAGGGAAAATAAGACTTACTGAAACACTGGGGTGAGTTTTAGGGGTGATTTTGCTGGTTCTTTTGCTTTACCACCTTGCGGGTTTTAGTTTTGGCATGTAGGTACGGCAGGACATAACTAACTCCTGCAGAAAGACCCTCTAGGCTATGCTATTGCTAGTGTAATTGTCTTCTTTTTAGAGAACACCTTCTGGCTTACAGACTTTCAACACCCATTGAACAACCTGCACAATTTATGTGACTGAAGTGGAAAATGGTGCCAAGGTTCAGGTATAGTTATTTTTAACCGATCAGGAACAGGAAAGTGAGTTGTGTTGGGAAGTGTAGGAGACAGCTTTGTTAAGGAGACTAGTTTTCAAGCAACTGTCTGTGAGTGACTGAGAATTGTTCCCAGTCTAGCTCTGGTTCACAG